GCTACTATTAGTATATAAACTATGTACAATTGTTGTAATTACTCAGTTCAAATATCAACTTGGATAGCCACTTATACTTCATACTCACTTCAGTTCCCTTTATCTCATCTGTTGGACTCCACTCTGAAAGATACTCCTCTCCACTTCTCTGACAGATCTCTGTTCTGCCAATCCAAATCCTTGGGCCTTGACTTAAGGGTGACATTGCCAATAGCTTCATCAACATCCACACACTCTGCTGGTCTCTGCACATACACTCAAGCTCAATCATTTGGCATGTTCCTAACAGCTGAACCCACTGGCACTCATAGCAAAATACATGCTATAGACCTTGAAGTATGCTTTACACTAATTGAAAAACCAGTTGAGGTCTAAGCTCTTACCTTCAAATGCCAATAGTTCCTTCACAATTGTAGATTTGAGATTGTCCCATAGATCCATGCTCTCTAGTTGCCAGAGAGATAGAGTGTCAGATGGTGGTCCACTTAGGAATAGTGATAAAACTGGATTCTGGGTTTGAGACAATAATTGTAGTCATCTGTTATAATATGGTCTTTGTAGCAATAGAGCTAATGTCATGGGTGTAATAGATTCTGCTGGAGCATCTTCTTGTCTAGCACCAGCAAACAAGCCACTTAAAAATAGTAGTAATGATGTGAAATACTCATAGAAAGGAATTTGGGTATCTCAGTTATATTGGCTCTCTATAGTCAATAGTGGCTAATGTGGCATTTGGAATGGTGATGTGTAGAAACCTGCTGCTTCAGAGTGTTATCCTTCTTTCTTGGCTTTCATAGCTTCTTGTGTACATATATATACTCACATCTCATCAACAAACTGTTAATTAGATAGAGCCATACTAATATATCTTCCTTCTTCCTCTGAGACTACCCACTGTACATCAGCCACTTGAGTATGCCTCAACTGCCAGTAGTATGCTCTCAGGTCCTCCAGCCACTTCTTGTCACCACTCTGTGATGTACCAGTATTCTCTCTGGAGATTGCCATCTGTTGTTCTGAAGAAATGAGGCTCTGTCCTCTTGGTGCTGTATGCATTGAACCAGTGGATGAGCTCATAGATAATGTTCTACTTGACAATCAGAAGGCTGGGATTTCTGACCATTCTTCTAAAGGGAATAGTGCTGGAGATTGGATTAGATGGTCAGATGTAGATCTCCTCTTGATTTGAGAGTGGGTAAAGAGCTAATCAGAGGGCATAATAAGTTGCAGCCATTCATAGCTGGGTTTTCCACTCTTCCAGTTCTCTTCTTTATCACTCCCTTCTCCATAGAGTCTATATGACATTGTAAGAAATAAAATCAACTATAGAAATTGTCAGACATGTGCCTGTGAGAGTGAGAGTGCTAGAGTTGTCTTGTTGATGTGTTCTTGAAAATTGTTCTGATCAAAGACCTTTGGATCAGAGCATGAAAAGTCTTGAGCTAAATATCAAGTGGCAATCAAACAATCACAAATACAATGCACTGCAACAGCTGGAGTCTGACACTAACTGAAGATAAAGCAGGAGGATGAGAGTAATAATGTTTTGGAATGATGATAAAGGGAGAAAGGTATAGGAGTTGATAAGCTACAACTGCTAGTGTTGATACTGAAGTGGTAGTCACACCAAAAGTTTAGGAGTTTGATTGGTATATTGACCTTAGCTTGAGACTGGGGTATATTCCTGTATACTACTGACTTATATACTGTATAGAAAAGTCTTGGTGATCAGACACAAAGCCTGTGTCTCAGTGCCTCAAACCCAGCCAAGACAGCTGAGCATGATTAGTCTTTGATTAAGCTACAAGCCAAGGCAGTCAGACATAATTTAGAGGCTAAAATCATAACATAAATATAGCTCTACTTATTATATCTGTTTGTAGGCTGAAATTAAAGAGCATGTGGTATGTTCATGAAACAATTAAATGTTGTCCATTGTAAAGGCATTAATTATAGGCTGTAATACAATGGTATGAGTCATCTGGTATAGTTGTGGTTACCAGTCCAGCCAGATAGATCAAGGGTAAGCACCTATGATTAGATAGGTGCTTGATAAGACAAGTGTGAGAAAATCATAACAATTCAGGCTGTATTACCTGCTCAAGTCATAGTGCTACTAGTTTTTTGCTTTTTGAACAGCACAAAGATGATGTCCACAATAATAGCAATAAATAGGCTACTGATACTAGAATGCTATGTGCATCCATAGCATCTGAGGACTCTTCTAACTTCTATATCTCAAAGAACTACAAGAATGTGATACAGGTCAATAAGAAAAGATAAAAGGCTGCTATAGATGTTGAATACAATATGCACATCACCAAATACATGTGAGATCTGGCTGATGTGCCATTCAGAGCTAATATCATAGACTGTAAATAGGTGTATGGTATAAAGTGGGATGGTGAGAGAAATTGGCTGTGAGACAAGGTGAGACTTGTCAGAAAGAGGTACACCCAATAATATGACCTAGATTACAACATGTGGGCTGCTATTACCTGCCTTGAATCAATTCATATGTCTGCTGCTGTAGCTGCTAAATTTGATCTTTAGCTTTTGGAAAATTGATTTTGCCTCTATATACCTGAATAGTATCATAAAAGAGGACATTTACATGCATTAACCACTAGGCTATATTGCAAAATGGAGAGAAGATAAAGTGTGTAAGCTTGTCCACATGATTTCACTATGCTGAATAGCTATAATTGATTTGAGATGTTGGAGAAAACCTATCATGACTTGAGATACAAGACATCTTATATGTTAAGCTCAAATAACACATGACTAAAACATGTGATAAACTGATGCTGCTTCATATTTGGGCAGTCACATCAGAGTCTACTGTATGTGTCTGTTTGTCTATGTGTTTCAAGGCCTTTGCAGTTGGCTCAAGATAAGATAGTAGAAGAATAAACTTTAGCTCAAAATGGGGGATACTACAGTGAGAGCTACACTACTTATATACCAATCATCATCTGTCTAAAGATATAACTACCTAATTGTGTGTCCTGGCACTATGGAGCATTTTGTCCAGTGTCATTAAGCTACCTTCAAAAGGGTATTGTCTGTGGTCAAGCAGTTACCATCATGTCAAAGGACAATGACCAACTAGGCATTGTTGTGCTGACTAAGTCTGTCCCATGGTCCTAAGCACTGGTCTAAGTGCTCTGACTAAGCAAAATAGAGGTTAATCCCTTGAATAAAAGATGAAAATGAGGAAAAAATCATAACATTATGCTAATCCATATATGCAGATGATTGGAGCCAGAGAGTGATTACATGCTGATGAACATATATACTGATGATATATGGAGGTGTCATCTAGCAAGAATGAGATAGAGTAGAGAAAGGCTGAACTATGAGAGAAATGAGAGCTGAATGATAGCACTGACAATCATTACTTCTTAGAAATGAAAATAGAGCAGGATCTCAATGCAGAGACCATCATTGAGGATTCTGACCTTGAGCATCTGAGACCATGCTCAACTCCATTATCAGTCAGAATCATGCTGAATAGTTCACAATACCCTATCACTCAGGCTGAAAAGGATGAAATAGCCTAATTCTCTTACTGATGCTTTTTAGGCCATATAATGTAGAGACAACTCACAACACATTCTAATCTCTACTACTCTGTCAGCCTTCTGGCTCACTTCCAGTCCAACCCTGGTCTCCCACACTGGCACATGCTGCTTCACATCATGATCTATGTGAAGAAAACTCTGGACTATGGTCTCACTTACTCTCAGGATGAACCCTTGGTCCCAGTGGATTTTGTGGATGCAGATTATGGTGAGTGTTATGATCTGGCCTGTTCAACATTGGGCTTTGTGTTTACTATAGCTGAGGCTCCTGTTTTCTGGAGTACTAAGGTCAGGCAACAGTGGCACTGTTGACTATCAAAGCTAAGTACATTTACCTTATATGCACAGTGCAACAGATGATGTGGATCTCTGCATGGATGAAGGAGGTTCAACTCTCTCAGCTCTGACCTGGCCTTCTCTACAGTAATAACCAAGGTGCCCTTGCACTCACAAAGAACACTCACTCCCACTATCAGATGAAACACATCCAGATTTGTGAGCATTATATTTGAGAGCTTGTTAGCATCAGCAACCTCAAAGTGGAGTTTATTCATGGCAATTCAAACTCTGCTGACATGTTTACCAAGGCCTTGCTCTGCAACACCACCCATAACCTCAACATTGCCACAACAGATTAGTATGAATATAGGGGAGTATTGGAGGATATCCATATGTTATACTCTTTTATTATTACACTTTTCTGTTATTTCACATATCACATGTTCTTTCTTACTATATATGTATATCACCTCCTGTCTCTATCAATCACTATATAAGCTTACTGTAGTTACCACACCTCAGTCATTTCACTCTTGCTGTAGTTGACTCTTACAATGCCTGCTAATATCTTACTTACCACTCATTTACAGTTCTCATATATATTCTTTATATATTATGATCTAGCTAACAAACATGCAGACAGTCATCACAACCAAGATCTTCTTCAAAGTAATGACTCTGTTTCCTGAGGTCAAATCATACTTTCACTAGCAGGCTGGAATTGCCTTGGGGGTGATCGCCTGCTCTCTCAGCTTATGATAAAGGACTACTTCAGTACATGGGTGCCATGCTCTACAAAGTCTCCAGGTGACACTTACCCCTTGCCATCAGTTCATGTTCTAAACCTACAGTATAACTTATACATTGAACTGATCTTCATTCAGGGTTCCCCACTGGACAGCCACATCATGTCCCCCTCTTTTTGAGCTGTCAATAGGATAAAAACAGTAGTAGAGCGCTCATTTGATCGTGCCAGTGCTACAGAATGAGAAAGATGCATCCTGTGCGGACAGATCTCGCAGGAATTTATGCAGAGTCGCCCGGAGGTCGTTCCGGATCTCCGGAGCACAGGCGTTCTCATGATCCCCCCATCAGTTGTATCACTCAACAATGATACCAGTGATCAATGTTTGCAATTCGCTAGTCATCTGAATTTTTGCGATTTGAAACGCCAGCCTTATCATATTCCAGTGTGCTGGAGAAGGAGACCGTGACGGGCTTAAGCAAAGAAAATTGGGCGAGTTACCTTGGAAAGTCAAGATTTCGGCGCCACAGCCTCCAAATGATCGATAATGATCCTATCGTCAAAGCGATCTCCAAGAGGAATGTTCCCACTGATGCTTTACTGCCGTTATCTTGTCTTTTTCCCATCCTGCATTTCGATAGTCATGAACCCGGGGAGCCTCTTCGCTATCTCTGCGACTTTCAATATTGGGACCAATCTCCTTGCTTTGGGCATGTTTCTTTGGGTCATCATCGGTATCATACGACGAAGATCGAGCTCCTCGCTGCCTTTTCCCCCTGGTCCGAAGGGATATCCCATCATTGGCAATATGTTCGATGTTCCCATGGAGCGTGAATGGGAAGCATGGGCGGAATGGCGGAAGAAATATGGTAGGTTGAACTATAGCCTAATAGACGTGTCTGATTCTCATCCGTTCTCTAGGGGATATCTCTTCAGCAACAGTACTGAATCAAACCATTGTCATATTGAACTCGTATCCCCTCGCCAAAGAGCTCCTCGATGGTCGATCAGGTACGTCCACAGCATCCATCGACGCCTCGTCCGTTTGTCCTCATGTTTGGTTCGGCAGCTAAATACTCGGACAGGCCTTACATGTCGATGCCGATCCTTTGTGGATGGAAAGATACACTTCTGATTTTAGGCTATGGCCGAGTTTTTCGAACCCAACGAAAACTTTTCCATAAATCAATGGGAACTATGGAAATTTTTCATCGTTTTTATTATATTGAAGATGAACAAAGTCGAAAGTTCCTGAAGAGGGTCTTAGCAGAGCCTGAGATATTCGTGCAGCACATTGAAACGTTGGGCATGCTCTGCCTATTGCTCATCTCGTTATCTCATTAGTTATTGTTTCAGCGCAGTCGCCTCGATCGTCCTTCTAATTGCGTACGGCTACACCATCGGCGAAAATGACCCTTTACTCGCAAAGTGCAAACAAATAACGGAAGATTTCATTCGGATGACGTCGCACAAGTTTCTCGTGAACAAAATACCAGTCTGTGCGCATGGGACTTTCAATTGGACATGCGCTAATCAGCTACATAGTGCGACATGTACCGGGATGGATTCCCGGAGCGAATTTCCAAAGGCTTGCCAAAGAGTGGAAGCAAAAAGTGGAAGAGCTGACCGATGAGCCTTTCCACTGGGTCAAGGAGCAAATGGTTCGTTCTGTCTTTCACTGCTTAGGCACTTACCGATCATCGTAGGCAAAGGGTACCTTCAAACCCTCGTTCGTGTCCACAAACCTCGAAGATAACGACGACGAATACTCCATCAAGTGTACTGCTGTTGCGATTTATGGAGGTGTGACTATTACCGTGACATGTTGCGGCACCAGACACTGAATGGATTTGCAGCTGGATTCGATACTGTATATCCTCCCGCTGCTACTACTATCTCCCAATGATGCTGATAATGAAGGCAGACAGTCGTCACCATCAAGGTCTTCTTCAAAATGATGGCTCTGTTTCCCGATGTCCAAGCCCGCGTTCAAACTGAGATCGACTCGGTAACGGGAAGCAACCGGCTACCTACTCTCGCAGATCGCGACCAAGGTTTACTCCCGTACACCCTTGCTACGCTCTATGAGGTTTTTAGATGGCACTTGCCCCTGCCTACAGGTTCGTGTTCCATCATCGAGCGAAAGAAGCTAATTTCGCCCCAGGGTTCCCCCACCGCACTGTAGAAGACGACACGTACAACGGCTATTTCATCCCGAAGGGATCTATTGTCGCTTTCAATACATTGTGAGTCCCAATCCCAGGATCTGAAAACACTGTTCCGGACGATATTAGGCAAATGTGTCATGACCCCGAATTGTACCCTAATCCTGACGTGTTTGACCCGACACGGTTTTTGGGCGTTTCGCCTCAGCTTGACCCACGAGAGTTGATATTTGGGTTCGGTCGGCGTGCTTGCCCTGGTGAGTGGATGTAAAGGATGGCGCGGCATTCGCTCAACGATTCCCAGGTCGCTTCTTAGCAGAAGCCTCTGTATTTCTGACTATGGCAAGGACTCTTGCGGTATTCAATATAACGAACGCAGTCGATATGTATGGCGTTCCATTGAAGGCGGACCCAGCCCAGCTGACAGGGGCTATAAGGTAAAACTTTACTATCCAGTCTTGTGCTATTCACTCATGATGCTCAGTGATACACCAGTATTCAAGTGCACTATCAGACCAAGAAGTGAAAAGGTTGCATCTTTAATCGATGAGATACTTTGAAAAGCTATTTTTGTACAACAGATTGAAATCCTGCGTTTTTATGATTGGTTATATCCATACATGCTTCCAGATTTAGATCACGCCTTGACAACCTCTCTTACAGCCTCTGCAAATATCCTGCACCCCTCGGCCATTTCCTCCTCGCTAATGTTGAGTGGCGGAATAAACCTAACTACTTCATACATACTCGTCGTCAGTATCAGCATGCCCTTCTCAATACACTTCTTGGCGACACGCCCAGCTAGCCCCACATTCTCGGTCTCGGAAGCCACGACATCGTATTTGCTGCCCGCAGAGGCAGACGAGACAAACTCGATGGCGACCATCAAGCCTCGTCCACGAACATCCAGAATATAAGGTGCAACCTCAGGATCATCTTTCAAATTGTTCAGTTCAGCGAAGATTTGCTTTGACCTAGGAAGGATACAGTTGAGTAATCTGAGAGACTCAAACAGAAAAAATTGACGATACCGTTCTTTCACGTTATCCAGAATATTTTCCTCCTTCATAGCGTCGGCGACGGCCACAGCAGCAGCACAAGATACAGCATTGCCAGCATAGGTTCCTCCCTACGTTACTTGAGAACTGATGTACGCAAAAGCAAGATCGAGTTACCTACCATCGATCCGGGCTTGAGAAGATCTGTGATATCTTTTCGGCTGATGATGGCACTGAGTGGGAAACCATTGGCCAGGCCCTGGTTGCAACCATGAGAAAAAGCCACCAAACGTGCAGATTATACTTGCCTTTGCAGAAACGAGGATATCTGGTTGAACACCGCTAGGCTCTATGGCGAACCACGTTCCTGTCCTGCAGAACCCGCTCTGAACCTCGTCGATGATTAACAAGATGCCATGCTTGTCGCATATCTCCCGTAGACCCTGCAAAAACACGTTGGGAGCAGGAACATATCCACCCTCGCCGAGAACCGGCTCGATGATCAGAGCCGCTGTGTCACGAGGTGCTGTTTGCTGCGCAAGCAGGATTTCAAGCTGGTAGAGCGATTTCGCAGTCAGTTCAGACTCGGAAATCGTTGATGAGGCTCCAAATTGGTGCCAGTACGGGAAGGGGATTGAAAACGTTCCTGGCTAGCAGTACGGGGGTTAGCGAATATGGGAATCTGGCAAATGGCATGCGTTACCATAAGGGGCGCAACTCCTTCTGAGTAAATGGTCTTGCTTCGCGTTACGGCCATTGCACCGAACGTCCTTCCATGATAGCCACCTGATGATGCATAAGCAATGTCCACAGGTCAAGGCCGGCCACTCCTGGCAGGCGACTAACTCGCGCCGGTCAAAATGTAAGGGAAACGATTAGAATACAGACGACATTTTGACTCAGGCTTTTACCACAGCAAAATACGTCGGTTTTACCATTAGAGAAAACCCCAGCTCATTTTGCTGTGGTTCAAAGCCTTGCTCAGAATTTGATCTGTTATTTACCCATTTTCCCAGGTTTTTGTCTGACCCGAAACAGTACCTTGCCGGGAGTGTAACCAAGGTATGAGCTCACCTTGCATAGAAATGATATTGGGACGACCAGTTGCAATTCTGGCCATTTTTATTGCGCATTCAATAGCCTCAGAACCAGAGTTCCAAAAGAAGAATGAATTGAGCGAGGGATGAGGCATGAGTGGAAGGAGTCTCTCGATAAGCTGCAGATAAGGTTCGTGGAAAGCAGTGCCGCACTACGAAAGCTTGAGATCACAAAAGCAGGAATGAGAACTCGAAGTGCATACCTGCGCATGAACAATATTCATGCACTGGTCTGCGGCAGCCTTGCTGACTTTTGGATGACAATGCCCTATTGCTAGATTCAGCACACCTCAAAGTTCCAGGACAAGCAAGCACGTACCCAGATTAGTTACACCGATACCACTGGTGAAATCCAGCATATGTCGTCCGTCATGAAAGTCGACATAGGAACCCCGTCCTTGGGCCACCACACCCTCCGTTATCCGTCCCAGACCTCGCGTAACATGCTTCTCGCCAAATGCCTGCAGCGACTCGGTCGACAGACCTCGAGTATTGTACCGGCTGTAAGTTGGGGTTCAGAAGACAGGCAAGACAGGCAAGACAGGGATATGGGCACTTGCGTAGCAGCTGCAGCGCCGTGGAGTGAGATGGCCCGTGCCGAGGGACGCGAAAAAGAGGTACCCAGGCGATACATAGTGGTGGTACGAGTCAGAGTACCCTTTTGAAACATTGCAGCGTTTGACAGCTAGTAATTGGTCCGGACTTTGCCGGGTCCATCCCGCCTTACTTTCCTACTATCTGCATACATCCTCAAGTACGCGTCTCTACCTCTACGAACGCATATATCCTCATTTTACGCAGATATGTCTGGAGACAGTGACCAGTCTGGCTCCAAATACCAGCGAAAACCGAACAATTCGTATTACAGGTCTTTCGGGTGCGTAGCGAGCCTCCCGTAGTACCAATGCTTGATATATGCGCTCTTATAGTGGATATAACAACTTCATGTACTCGTACAGGCCCTAGGATATCGACGATGTTGAACAGGCAAGGCCGTCATTGAAACCTTTAAAAAACAGGACAGGCTTGAACACGAAGAGGCGCAGAAGAACAGTGGCAAGAAATAATTTATGGTACATCTCATTGGTCATTGGTATATCATCTACTATACAAGCCGACTCCCTATTCAGAACGTTTCTTTGACGGTGCGACAGCAAGCGGTCTCTAGATGTAATGCAACCCAAACCTTGACGTTCTTTATCAAGGAATTTTAGAATGTATGGTCAGATTGTTCGCACGTATGGCATCGAGCAAATCTGTACTTACTAGTAACTCAGGGGCAATAACTGCAAGGAGGCGCGTTTGCGGCGTGAGACAATCTGGTGGGGCGCGCTGGTTTGTCTGTTTCGCTTGACATAACTTGTCTATGCACTACTGACTATCCTTGAATTCATTCGTGTATCAAAAACGAGCACCCGAACCTCATGAAGGTATCTTCTCGGTTCTCTTTCCAGCTCGAATCTTCATTCGTCTTACCATCATCAAATCAAGTTCTCGCTATTGTTTGCTTCTTCCTATATGCTCTCTGTGTACCGGAAAATATGGCACGTAGCTAAGGAAACACTCTTTTTTGAATGACTCACAGACCGTCGACATGATGCTCAACTGGAGAGTAGGCTATCACACCTATAATCGACAGCCTTGACATTTTACCATGAGCATATGCAGCTGTCGTGAACGTTTTCTGTTGATGTGACTGTATGCCGACACTGCATCCCGCGCATTGGTGACAGTGGCGTGACTCTCAGTCACTTTATGACGTTCAGTTTTTTCTTTTTCTCGCCTTGTTCTGTTTTTGAATGCTTCTGTTTGGCTCATGTGCGGGGAGTCCAAACTTCAAGGTCTGCGTGGTAGTAGGATATAGACATCTCTACCGCCTAAGAGTATACCGTGGTCCAAGGACCGACCATGTAATGTTACATAGCTCTTCGCAGCTTTTGGCATTGGATTTTTTACTATTTGTTCCTTTGGTAAATTAACCAATATCACCGACTCTTGAAGCAGACTGAGACAGATAGGCACCGGAGTTTCCCAGGCGTCTAGCCTTTACATAAACGGTCGCATGATGCTGTTGTCGGTCAACTGTTCGCTCCCTTTCTTTCTCTGCAGCGCTGAAAAGACTCGAACGTGAGGGTATTTTCTTGATACCAGCTTTCAGTCAGCTTACCATTGTCTTCAGTAGTCATGTTTTCTGTTCCAACCGACTCCTCCAACTTTGATCCAGGGTTCGTCCCTTTCCTTCCTGAGCATACGTTGCAACGTATGGAATCTCCTCGCATATCCTCGCTCCTTCGATCCAACGATGGTCCGCTTGACTCGGAAAGAAGGGAGTTCATGTGCTCCCTGAAAGCTAGCCAGGATGCGACAAAGGCGTTGCAGAGCAAAATAGAGGCTACCCAGCGTCTGTTGGATTTTTTGAAGAATCAGAGAAGAATCGCCGAGTCTAACACAGCTGATACTACCAAAATTCTTCGTCAATACCGTATCCTTAATACGGATTGCCTTACGAAGATATTTCAGCAGTGTTTGGCCGATCAGAATGGCGATTCTGACAATGATGATTATTCATTCGGGCCCCGAGAGGGCTTCGACTGCTTGAACCCTGTGCGACGAGCACCTTGGTCGTTAGCACAGGTTTGTTGTAGGTGGAGAGACGTTGCTTTGGGTTCGCCAGGTTTATGGTCCTGCGTCGACATTGATTTCGGCTCCCTATGCAAAGCACAGGATTTCTACTCAAAGCGCCTCTTCAGGCTTGGGCTATTTCTTGAAAGGAGTTGTGGTTTTCCTCTTCGAATCCGTCTACGGAGCCGGTGGGATATATCTGCAAACCCTATCTTCCAGGCTTTGCTACCAACTTCATCTCGGTGGACAGACGCCTTCTTTTCCTTACCTTCGAAATCATTCCGTTCGTTATCTGCATGTGGATCATTCTTCGGTCGGTTGGAGCGGCTACAAGTCAGCCTTATGGGCCCCATGGAGCTGGGATTGGACACTTTCGCAATGGCACACAACATTCGCACCTTCACGAGTGACATCCCTCAGCCCTTCCTCGTTTTCAGTCACTTCCCCGGTGCCAGCGTGAAATCCTATTCAGCCTTCGATGGATCCTTCCGTGAACAAGTATCTGCGTTGACGCATTTGCCGAACGTCCAGGATCTTGTCCTATTATGCAAAAAGTCTAATATGGACATACGCAGTCCCGTCACGCTTGGCCATGTACAAAGTCTTGATGTTGATGAGTTTTTTCATGACAAGCCTGGTAGTGTCGCACAGATGCTCGAGAATCTTGTTCTGCCTTCTCTCAGAAAACTGCGCATGTCGTTCCCGACAGAAGCCCCATCCTTTCCCATTCAACACCACCTTGTTCATATCACGACATTGGAGTTGACTTGTCGACTGAACCACCACGAGGATGTTGTTGCTTTTTGCATCTTCCTAGAAAGCCTCACGCAGCTAGAAACATTATCCATCCATGCGTTTCGAATTTCTGGTATCTTAATGCAGAGACTGGGCTTGAGTACTGGGCCAGACTCAGATCAGATTTTTCGTTATGTCCCGTGGCTCAGGTGCCTTGATTTACGAAGGTCAACATTTGCAAATGAGAGAAGCGGATATGAAGCCCTTCTTTCTGTGGTGGCGTCTCGTCGGTGTATGGATGCAGAAGCGTTGAGGGAAATCTGTTTGGACAGGCCACAGAACCCCAAGCTTTCGGATATGTGGGAACCGCTACGCAAGCAAGGTTTGTACGTCAATTACTGGAAGACATGATGATAATAGTATTTATGTGACAATTGATTGTTGGGGCTCATCATGAGGACTCACTTTGTCCATGCAGGGTGACTTGAATAATTTTCATGAAGCCTCCCCGCCCTCAATCTGTGTTTCGATGACGCGTTAAGGGATGACTCAGCTTCAACAAGTATACCAACTCGAGTACAATGACTATCTGAACGAAATTGGCCGCTGTACATATTCATCACAGCACAATGCAGGAGAACCATGAAGGCATATGGTGCAAGTGTGCTGCAACCCACAATCATGGTGTATGAATCTGTGATTCTATGATGATAAATAACATGCTGCTGACCCGTAGAATCAACAAGAGACGGAGAAACGTGAAAAGGCAGATGTTATATGCAGCAGAACTGGAGATATTTTCTAGGATAGATGCAACAGTTGTATGGCGCTTTCAGCGGCTGCAAATCTAACTTGCACCTTTGTGACGTGGCCTCTGTTAAGGTCAGTTTCCCGTGCTTCCTCCAACACCTTCACATCCCCTCCCTCCTCTTGATGCAACTCGATCACACAACCGATGTTGCCCTTCTCTTCCCTAAACTTATACTTCACTTTTTGTCCTCGTCGTGAAGCCCAGACCGATAGTCGCGAAACAGGGTGAAGCACATCAACGCTGTCCTTGACGATGCGCTCCAGTATTGGCAAGATACCAATCGTTCGCATAACATCCCGCGTCCTCTCCAGGTTCCCCTCCGAGTCAAGGAATACGGCGCCGAGGAGACTCTCGATCATGTCACTGAAGAATTTGGGCGCTTGCAGACGAGTCAGCGCTGCCCAAGGATAGATCTTCCCATTCTCCAAACCGTCAGCAATTACATCCGAAAGCCTCTGAAACCTGTCAAACGTGACACGCTGATCCTCGAGAACACGAGGACTGGCATGCAACAGGCACTTCCACAGATATATGTCCTCCTCTTCTTCTTCTAGCTGGATCTGAGCCCTCGATTCTGTGGGCCGAGGCATATAGCTGCAAACCTTCACAGAACACTTCAAGCATAGGTAGGCCAGAACATGCCCGTTCACGACAGCCGATTTCCGAAGGTGCATATGCCCAGGACTGTACTGCTTGCCTTCTGCACGATATAGATAATCCGTGACCACCATGTCCATGACGGCGTCACCGAGGAATTCCATACGTTCATAAGAGATCGTGCCGAAGTCCTGCTGATGACTCGGGTGTGTGAGGGCTTCGAGAAGGATGAGCTTGTGTCTAAACTCGTAGCCCAGCATGGATTCCACTTGGGACATGACCTTCTCCGGCAAGTCGATGCGCTTTCTGACTTCGGGTTCGATTACACTGACCCTTTCAATCAAGGACGAGATGCGCTCCGCAGTTGGTTGCCAGGTAAGGTCTAGACAGAAGAACTTGGTACATTCATAGCCCAGTTCGAACCCTCCATGCAGATACGCAGCGCCGATCGTGGATTCGACAACATCCGCCAGTACTGAATAACATGAATTACAGATTAAAGCATGAAGCTACACGGCACAATGTCCATACCTTTCGTGGAGAGCGCTCCCGCAACCTTTTTTGCCCGCTTTTTCTTGACCTCGTTCTTCCTGGGAACGGTTGCAACGACCCCAGCTACTTGATTCTCGCGGATAGTTTTGTTGGAATGCATATACGCTGGCTTCCACTTCTTGCTAAGGAACAGATCTAAACGTAAACAAGTCAATATAGCAGACTGTCATATGGCTTCGAACCAACCTCGGATAATCCATCTGAACATTTCTCTAGATATGTTCTCATTCGCCAGTCTAACGTTCGCAACGGCATGGTCCTTCCGCCTCGTCAGGTATCCTTCGTGCCACAGTGGGTGTTGCGATAGAAGCTGTATGCTGACCAGGTACTTCAGCACCGTATCTCCTAGCGTCTCCAAGCGCTGATAATTGTGACGTTCTTGAGACGACGGGGCTGTCATAGCGACAGTCAACAGCTGCGGTGAAATGGCGTAAAGATGAGACGACGGAGTGAACATCCTATCCCGCATGGACTGAACAGTAAGTGACATAGCTAGCGCACGCAGGACCGAAGGCAGTAGGAACACATATTCAGCCTCTACCGG